AACTGCGAAGTGATGCATCCGCAACATGCGCTCCGAGTGATCCGGGGCTTCTTTCTCATGCTTCTCCGCTCCGAGGCCCAAGGGCGAAGGAAAGCCTGGTGAAGAAAGAAAGGATGGAAAGCCAAGTGAGGCATCCCAAGTGGAGTCATTCAAAAAAGCCCTCGAAGGGAACTGAAAAAACCCACCATGATAAGCACAAAAAATACTAATAATAGTCAGCATGACATAATACTGGTCATAAATGCTCAGAATCATTACTTGAGAACTCTTCTGGGTGTCCCCCCCCCCCCCCCCCCCGTTGAGTCTGCGAAAGGCCTCCGCCAAGGGAGCGGCTCCGGGAGGTGGCAACAAAGGCCCCCGAGAAGCAGCCAAAGAAGACATGTTCTTTTAAGGATTCTTCAGGAGGGGCTTCAAAAGAGGCTTCAAAGGAGGCTTCAAAAGAGGCTTCAAAAGAGGCTTCCAAAGAGGCTTCAAAAGAGGCTTCAAAAGAGGCTTCAAGAGGCTTCCACAGAGGCTTCAAGAGGCTTCATAGGGTTCAGTGCCCATGGAGGCTTGAGGATCTTTTTTATGTTTGGGGCGAGGGGGGGGGGGGTTCTGCCTTTCTCCGGGAGTTGAGGAATCTACGTTTGGGCTTCCGCTTGGCATGGTCATGGCACTTCATGCAGAGCAATGTTGAGCAGTTGAGCCTGTGGTCGACAGACATCGGCTGATGCTATCTGATGGGTTGGTGCCGGAACTCAAATGTACCCCGCTTGAGGACCCATAGAGGTCTCCCGTAACAGAAACCCGATTCAACAAGCACTAGAAAGGAAGGCCTTTTCATCGAAAGTGCCTCTCAGGCGACTCCAAAGGCAAAGGCAAGTCCGGTCGAGGCCCGTATCCCTCGGCCTTAGCTGCCAGTTGGAAGGGCCGTCGGAGACCATCTTTTTTGAACTTTACAACCTTTTCAAGCCCCTTCGAACCCTTTAAACTCCAAACCCTAAAAGTCCTTGCGAGTCTTACTCTTTTGCTGGGATTTTCGCTCGAGTTCCCGATCAGACTGTCCGAGGCTGGTCTGAAGCCAATGTCCGGGTATTCAACGTAGCAGGTCATTCGATCAATGTCGATCATGACCGACAGGGTGGCCTCAAGTACTTTCCCTTTTTCTTTTGCTAACTTGCCTGTCTTGCCTGTCCAAGCGAATTTGGAGCCGCTGTGGCTGGAGCCTTTGCAGAAGTACACAACCGAGCCGCGAGCTCCGGTGCAACAGCAAGGTTGTAAACTGAGAGAGGGCGTCGAACCTCGAGCCCTTTTTGCATGTTCGCAGACGACATGCAACAACAGCGGGACACATAGCTAGATTCAGACTGACGTTGGGCAGGACTTACTTCTAGATTCTAGAGGCCGTGTCAGCCCCAAGACCGTGAATGTACGGAAATATGCTCAAAGTGGGCTCAGTACGTCAAGCCTCCAGCTGCGATTTGCCAGAATGGGGTGCAAGCTATGGCTCTGGGATCTCTCGAGCTGCTGACGGTCCTGTTGGCCTCCTTCACGGGCATACTGATTGGTGCTTGGCTTCATGGCTTAGTGTGCGTGTGCGCGTGTAAAAGTGTTAACATGTGTAACTTCACGTTGAGGTCGCTGCGAATGAACAAGGAAGTGCGTGCACTTAACATGCTGTAGAATGAGACTGTAGCACTGCAAAAAGAAAAGTGTGTGTGTGTGTCTATACATATGTGATGTGTATATATATGTGTGTATATATATAAACAAGTCCTGGCATCATGCGCGTGACTGGCAGGCGTTTGGTCGGCGTGGCGCGGTTCGGAACGATGGCCAGAAGACACGGACCTGGCACATCAGATGCGAAGTTGATGTAACGTGAACTCGATCTGATAGAGTTCCTAGAATTCAACGATGAAAATTCCCGCCTGTAAACATAACAAGCGTGGTAACATATGGTCCCATAGGCATTGTACAAAGCCTTTCGTATGGCGCAGCAGCACAGGAGAAGCCCGACACCACATAGACGGAAACCATAGTGCAGAAGCCATGACACGTCATCTATCGTCATTTCCACCCGCCTTCCGTCAATGACGACCAACTGCGAAAATGAGCCGCCAGGAGGCTGTGCTCAACGACTTCATATCCGGTGACGCCAAAGATGCTGTCGCCACTTGGAAGTCGTGCTGTCATTGTGCGGGTGAGGAGTGAGAGCCTTGATGCGGTGCCAAAGGCAGATATGTTTATCGCGGCACAACGGGCCAAAGCGCAGGCAGCATACGACGAGACGTGGCCAGATGTATCAGATGAGCAACCCTTACACTTGTAGTTCACCCTCACCAACAAAGATCTCGGAGTGCAGAAGGCAGAAGCCAATGATTGGTAAGCAAACAGCACATGGAAACAAGATGAGTCTTCCGATCATGCAGATCTAAGGGGTTCATCCTGTTTCCGCAGAGGTCTCCATGCAAGCCAAGCCACCTGCTGCACTTTAGGAACTCTTTGCGGATGGTGAGGGACTGGATGGCGATGCGGTGCCTGAACGACATGACTTTGAAGAACGCGGCTTGGCCGACAGCTTCCCATAGCATTGGTTGGTGGGCGATGCCGGCGATCAGTGATGGCATTCAAGTTCACATGTTCATGTGAAGGCTTGTTTACAAGCCGAATGTGAAACGATTCGGGGAGTGGTGTCTTTCACTAGTAGAGCGTGTCAGGAGTTGCCAGGCCATTGCTTTCTTGCGGCACATTGGGATGGCCAAGCGGCCAAGGGGGCCCAATATGTCCATCGCTTGCAGTCTACATCATCTCTCAGCAGGTGCACTTGACATGTCTTGAGGCTATCTCCTCTCTGCGCTGCAAGAAGAAACAGCACGGGTGCTGCGTGAGAAAGGTTATGAATCCACTGAGACGCGGGGGCCCAATCGTTTTGGTACAGTCATAGCACAGCGACCCGGGAATATGTGCCAGCATTTTGCCCTGAGGCAAGAGCGACTACTGCAGGGTCCCGCAGCAGATTTGCAGGCTCGATGCATTGCAGTCGCTAGGGTTGCCGCATGTTGCTATTCAAAACGGGCGTATGGCTTCGAATCGCGCGCCCATGGCACGCTTCCAGATGTCACAGTTTAAGTCGAAGAAAGTACAATGATGACAAGAATGCATTGCGGCGAACGGTCCCTCCTGAGTGGGTCGTTTGCTGGGATTTGGGCCGGCCTTTACCGACACGTTTCAGCAGCATTGCTTCTGTCCCGTGTGTAGCCCTGTAATTAAAGCCCATTATAGCCCTGCAAAGATATGACATCGCCTTCTCTCCAAGTAGCATGGCTATGTACTGTACCAGGAGCCCCGCGTATATCCGCGTAGTACGGTCAGGGGGGACGGCATGTAATTGACGTCGTCTAGAAAATTCTAGAAAGCCTGAGCTCCGAAGGTGCCAGAGTCGGCGGTGGGTCCGATCTGGCGATACGGGCAAAATAGGGAATGCTCGGACGTTCCAAGCGGGTTGCCACATGGCAGTCCTGCAAAAGGTGCGAAACCATGATCCTCGTAGGGTCGTAGGCCCCGCGTAAGCCGCGCATAGGTTTGGGCTGCTGGTAACAAACTAAACAAAAAATGCTCGCCTGGATCCCGAATGTGAGTGTTCGACGATTTTGAAACTGGAAGCATGAAAACTTGATGCCGAAACTCCAAGCCCAGACCTTCCGAGAAATGTGTGCCACTAGCCCACGGAGACTTCAGAATATTCAAGCCTCGAGGGCAGCTCGGCAATTAGGCCGCCAAAATTGCCACGCTCTGGACGCACAACAAAACTAGAATATTATGGACCGTATGACTTCGAGCCACAGATTGCAAGATATTGGGTCGGCCATGCTGTCCGCGGGACACATCTCCTGTCGTTTGCCCGTAGGAGGTGCGGAAGAAGGATGCGCCAACAACGCTGGAGGGGCAGGCCTGCTGAGCTGCTTGCTACTGCAGACGTTGCCTGGTCCATGGTGGTGCTCGTGCTTGACCTTGCTGTCGATTGGGCAGTTTTTTTTTTTTTTTTTCTGTGGGCGCCCTTGTGCGAAAGGTGGAAGCTCTGATGGTTCAGAAGCGGCAGCGGCAAGCCATCAAAGCTCGTGTTCGTGAAGGCCAGGCTCATAGCCGCAAGTCCAGACCGTGGCTTCATGGCTTCATTGCGGCTTCATGACCATTGCCCAGGGAAGCCAGCAAAGCCGTTGTTTGCCAGTGGCTCCAGCTCCACCTGGCTGGCATGTGGTGAGCAGCTCTATGTATCCCGGCGTTGGGCCAACACGTGACATGAAGACGTAAAGATCAACGATTTTGGGATGGCGATTGGCCACTGAACGCCGAGGCACGTCACGTTTACGAGCCTATTCCGTCCTGCAGCCCGAGTCCTACCCAGAACTAGCAGTTTCGTTGTTCCTGCTTGCTGAATGATGCTGAATGCTGGTCAAAGCGAACAAATGAACGCGTGTTGCCCTTGTCGAAGACCGCGTTGATTCGAGTATTCCTCGTCGGCTTTGAACATGTCTGCAGTGCACGCTGAAACTGGCCCCCTCCCACCTCAACCTTCAGGAAGGGCGAGGGCTGCGGGCGCTGGATTCATGAATCTTTAGCAACAAAAGCAGAGGCCACTGGGCTAAAAATTGGGCCGAGAGCTCAGGACTCAGGATCGTCATGCATAATTCAACTTGCACTGGGAGTCCATACATCCTGCCCTGCAGCAACACAAGCCATGGCTTCTCCCAGTCTGAGGTTGAAATTGCGGCTTCGTTCGCAGAGAAGGCGCTGCACGGACTCTTCCATTCTGGGCCGCAGACATCGTACCCTGAAGAATTGGAGAATCAACAGATCAGAAACGTTTAGAAACGTGAAGTTTGGCACGGGGGGGACTGCGCTGGCCCAGGTTGGCCATGGCCAGTGACGTCTGGAATCGATTGCAGGATGCTGCCCCACTCTACCAGGACTAGTTGCTGGACGAAAGCCAAGCATCTCAGCTGACGCCGCAGGCGGCAATGTCACATCCCCAAACCCTCAACCTGTATACCGTTATGGCTCAAGTTCAGCTGAGAGCACCGACATCCGACTGCATCCTTCCCATCTCTTCGAAGCGTCGCAAAACAACGATGGCATCAGGAAAGGACCCAGAGGTTGCCAGTGGCGTACTGAAGGACATGGAGGGTGTGAGGGCGACAAGAAGCCGACTCGAAGCTAATTACCTCCTCACCACGCCGCATGTTCATGGTCTTCTTTCTGCGCTCGGAGCCGAAGACCACCCAAGCAGCAATGGCTTCATTGCCGGCTCCGGACGACATGCGCAAGTGGACGGAACATGAGTCTCTTCAAGAATGCCACGAAGGGTCCAATGAAAAGGATGCTCCAGGACCGGGACGTGGACAATGTTGGCAAGATCGACGTCGTGAGACAAATGCTGTGGGCACATGCGGCTCTCTGGATCAGTACGTAGGGGTTCCTGGCACCTAAGAAGTTACAGGGCCACAACAGGAATGCCGAAGAACTGACGCAGGTGTGATGGGTCCGCCTACATCAGACTGGTGAATCAACGCCCGGCTGTTTGCCGGTTTTCAACCCATGTGAGTTCTGATGAGCAGATTGCCTTGGTCACTTTCCTCCTGACGTGCGCCAATTTGCGAGGAGGCATCAGTGAACCCTGTTAAACCCACTACAGCAGATATCTGAGTTCAGCCTCAGGGTATTTGGATAGTTTCGGCTTGTTGTGAGTTGAGAGCCGGCCAGCCGGTCTTGAGAGAACTCCATCTTGAACCCTTGAACTAACATTCATGTCTGGACATCTGTGACGGTTCTCACCGCCGTTCTGCGCACATCCGTGTGCTAGCTAGTCTTAAAGCTGTATAGTCCGTTAGTTTCATGGTCAATCATCCGGCGGCACGCCTCCCCTTGTCCTCTCAGTGGTGCCCTGGCTGACATGGGGGCGCTTAGGGTCAACTCACCTTCACTTTTGTTAAATCCTTTGGCTCAAACTTCAAGGCGAGGCCGCGTGCACTCTGTGGGCGATGTCGTAATGACACATCCTTCCCTGCATTTGCAGTATGAGGGTTCGCAGCCTGGAGGGCTGCGAGCCCGCCGTGTGGCTTGTGGTGATGGGATGCAGAATGTTGTTGACTGATGTAACACTGATGTAACATGTGGCAGCTCCCAGCATCAAGACAAGACACACAGAAATTTGTGGCAAAGTCCGCTCGAGATGTTCTTTCTGTATTTATTCATGACATTTAGTGCACGGAAGGACCAATACAGAGAGAGAGAGAGAGACGGAAAAGCGTTTCTGGTTCTCTCTTGACACGAGGATGTTAACAGATGTGTGATGTGTCTAGCATTGCCTGCACATGGCAGATCGAGGGTGCCTACACTCCAAACGGCCAGGAGTTGATGCGACGAGTCAGGCCTCAGAGGGGCATTCATTACTTTTAAAAGTGCGGGTGAAGGGGGAAGTTGTGCCTCAAGACATACTGGACACCTCGTCCGTGTTTCTTACCATAGCGTACAACAGAGCCGTCAGTCCCTTCTTGATGAAAAGGCGCACGCTGGCAGAAACGCTGGGCACGCAGCTCTTCTTCAGCGGGGCGCTCCTGAATCGCTTGCAAGTGCCGCAAATCCAAGGCCAGGCAGCAGCAGTTAGTCATTGCATGTCATTTGCGTGCGCCAAATATCATAAGGAACGGCGGAGACTGACGAAGCTGCCATAGCTTGCCACCGTTTGTCACCATGAAAAATTGAGAGGTTCCTTGAACGGTAATTCCTCACGTTGCATCGAGGAAGGGTGTCTTGAAAGAACCGAGGAGCACGTGTTCCAAGCCAGGAAGTTCCATCCCGGGAATTTGCGCAGCACGAAAATGTGCTGCACAGAAACCCTGCAATGCGGATGATCGGTCGATTTGTCTCACGTCTCATTTGATTTGTGTTTCATGCTTTCTGCCTTCAAGCTTTTCCAGCTCTTGTTAGTTTGCTTTCTTTGTTGTTCTCTGGAGATCCTTTGCAGTTTCTCAGATTGACTGGCAGTTTCCAGCCTCTCACCAAAAAACAAGGCACTGGTGCTGTGACATGATCGTTAAGTTGTTTTGTCCCAAATTCAAAAGTTTCTCGGAAATGCTTTTTAGAAATGTCGCATTTCAGAGATGTGCAGGGTGCAAGTGTTGGATGGCTTTCCCAAAAAATGCTGAAATTGGACCCAATGTTTGAACGGACACATCGATATAAGCACAAGAAGTATACCAGGTCAAAGCCTGAATGTATATGGCCTTATGAAGACTGCCATAGGTGCAACTTTCGCAAGATGCAAACACCTCCACGGCCATCATGATCGAACTAGGAGGTGTACGTAGCTGGCGGAGCCTTCAGCAATGCTGAATCGAGGAGTGTGTCTCTGTCATTCTTCGGCCCACTCTCGTGGCATCTCGTGGCACGTCTTACTCTCTACTTCCTCCGAGTTCTCTTTGCAATGCTCCGTCACGCAGAGTTGCAGAGCGCTTTAAATTCTAAGGTTCGTGCCTGAACAACGATGAATAACGTGTTTGTGGCGGGGGCTTGCTTGACGACAGTCTTTACGGTCCTTGTGGTGTCCGACTCTCCAATCTGAGACATTGCTCAAAGCGCAACTCGGGATTTAGAGCACTCGACACTACCGAAAGACTGCTTATACTGATATTATACTGCATACTTGGAGTCTCAGAGCTTCCATGGCTTCTCCAAGTAGTTTGCAGATTCTGCCCGCGCGAAGGTGAAATGCAACTGCACCCCAACAAATCTGACGAGTTTGCGCCCCACGTGGACAAGGCGCAGATCTGCAGACGTCAGTTTCAAGTGCAGATGGCAGTCCAGTGCCAGGCCAATGTAGCGTCCTACGACTGGAGTGCGCTGCTCTACTTGAGCGAACACGGAACGGATTTTCAAGGTTGGGCACTTCTGTTGCTTATGTTGCTTGCTGTTGCGGGCCAGGAACTTCGGAACCGCCACGCTTTCTAAGTCGCTAAGCCGCTTAAGCCGCTATCCAGCCAAGCTTGGGTACAACTGCCCCACTTCCAAAGCACAGGCCTCGAGCCTTGAGGCTGTAAATCCCTCAGCATCAGCTGTTGTTCTTGATATGACTGGGGCCAAACGAACAGCATTATCATGAGCACTTCATAGGAAATATGCCCTCAGCAGCTTTTCGTGTGGCTCCCCGAAACAATTTTGCACTATTCCGAACAGCCAGGCTATACGTTGTTCTTGTTCTTCCTCTGAGGTTCCTAGAAACTTCGTAGGAATACGGCGCTTGCAACCAAACAACAGAGAGTGCCATCAGACAGCGCGAACAATACTTTCCTCATGCTGCAAGCTTCAATCTGTTGGAGGTGGGGAGCTCATCTTCCATGACGACGAAGATGACAAGTTCATTGTGCCGAGCCAGCTGGCTAGAAGGGGTCAAGGCGACGAACATTGTCACATTGCTGCTGCAGTGAAAACGGACCTGGTTGCACAGACAAGGTCGGGGCCTGTTGGCTTTCTTTAGCTCTGGCTTGGAGTGGCTTGGCCACCATGAATCAAGTGTTCTTGGACCATTTAGACCACTATGTATTTTATCAACGGAAAGCATGTGTTCACATGAACAATTTATCCTTGTCCTAGCTCGGCAGCCCTATGGTAAAGCCAAGGAATGTTCACCGCGTGAACACGATGGCGTGGGGCCAGCGTCTCGTGCTGTCCATGTGGTTCACCTGCAGCGAAAGGCCTGACTGCACGTGGCTTCGGAATCGAACGTGTGACGCTCTATTGACCACTTGGTCCCAGTCCATCTTGTGATATGCAAGGTTCGTCCGCTCATTCCTTGTGTGTGCTCTTTGGTGCCAACCTGCAGCCAAAACACAGTGCGTGCAAGGCATTCGCACCCTGAGCTGCGGTTCCTCGCTGAGAGCCGACCCGATGAGTTCATCGCCGCCGCTCAACCGATGGTAAACGGATTGTTTGGCCCTGGATCTGCTTGCAGCTTTCGAGTACATCTTTGGTAGCTACCTATATTCCCAACAGCGCATACTGTTTGGCTTCAGTCTCGACTCTACACAGGGGCAGAACCGGAAAAGATGGAAACATCAGAAAAAGACCGGACCTGAATCTATGCTGTCGGGTATCTGAATGTGCGAAGTTGGATAACAAAGCGGCCTCACGACAAGAGCACATGGTAAATGCCTCTGGGGGGGCAGGGGGGGGGGGGGGGGGGGGGGGGGGGGGGGGGGAGTTTTGATTGATTCGTTTTCACCCATCCAGAGAACTGCCCGTCAAAGACTTTGAAGGCCTGCAGGCTAGCTACATTACACTAGCACAACGAGTGCCACACCAGCAGAACCCGGATGAAGCAAGCAAGAGCTGGTCGCTGCAATCGAAGTACGATAGCAACAAGCCCCGAAGCTCGCAACTTACATCAAAGCTTCAGAACGCGGAGCCGGCCTTCTGGAACGAGCTCTGTCTTCAGAACTTCCCGCATTTCCCGCATTGTTTGCAAAGTGTCAGAACTGCCCCCTTCTACATCCGCTGCTCAGGAGTCCAGCCCATCAGCTGAGCTGTAGCAGAAGATGCGGCGTTGAAAAGAAAAAGGTTGGCTTCCATTGACTGCTCAAAGCTGGACACTGTGTCGAGACATGATAGTCACCCCTTTACCCCTCTGAGTCATCGAAACAGTATCGAAGTTGTTTCTGAAACTGCTACAACATGAATCCAATGCACGAGTGCTCATTCTCGCACGAGCCACTGGTATCGCAGCGTTGCCTGATCCTTGCAATCAGCTTATTCCTTGTCCCTCCTTCATTTCCGAGATCGTTTTGCTCTCTCCCCTTTGGAAGCGGTTGTTCTGCTGCAACTGTCCAGTAACTGACGGCCCGATACATATCGCTTCTGAATCCCAAGAAGTAGTTGCAGACTGCAATGTGCTTGGCAGTTCGGGATTCTTGTCGGAAACCCGATACTCCCTGCACAATGCTGAATGCACTTCTGGTACTTTTGACTTATGACCTTTATTTGCCCAGTGCCAGGACCCGGAGGGCCGCCCGGTTCGATGGGCGGAGGCCGAGGCCGGGGGATGAAACGAAAAGCAGGGTCAAGACGTGTTCTGGCCGTCTACTTTCTGTGCCTGCAATTGTGGGTCCGGGCGCAGGCTTTATTTCTCGTTCCTCAAAAGTTAAAAGCCTCGAACAGGCTGACAAAACAGCGAATGAGTTCCAAACGAAGGGCCTTAGAGGGATTCTTAAGTCTGAGCCTTCCACAGAACAACTCAAGGACGGGGTTTATGCCTGGGTACTTACGCTGTTCGTGTCGTACCGACTGAAATGTGGGGATGGGCCCATATTGCGTGAGAGGGAAAGGGAGAGGTTCGCGCCCTTCAAGCCTTGCAGCAAAAGAAGAAGGAAAAGAAAAAGAACAAGAAATGAGAAGCGAGAGAGAGAAACTTTGCCACGCCCCTAGGCGGCCCCTTAGGGGGCTAAGTGCAGAGGGAAGGAAGGAAGGAAGGAATACCGTGCCTTAGGTTCACGAGGAAACCCGAACAAAATAAGCCGTCACAACACTACGACCAGTGCCAAGCCATTTTGCACCGCCTTTGGGCTGTAATCATACTTAGGTTGAGGTTGCCGGAGCTTAGACGACCTGGCGCCTGCAAATGCCGTCCACGCAATACAGAACAAGCCCCCTGATTCCGGTAGCTTTGGGCCGAGGCTTTCGCCAACACATAAAATTGGGGACGAGGCCTGAATTACGGGTGGGGACATGGGCCAGTAGAGCTGGATGCCTATCTGGCTGGACGACCACCGTTCAAAGCACACAGTACACAGTTTCACGTCGACTAGCTACACGAGAGCGGGCGCTCTTGGAGTGCGCGAGGGGCGGACGGCTGCTGTCATGCCTAGCAGCATAAAGAAAAGTTTCCCGCAGAAGCCCGCTGAGAAGAAGAGGAAGAAGAAAGAACTGGTCTGGCCTCCCCCCTAAGCCAACCGCACGAAGTCCTGAGAGCGGGAAGTTAATGTTGAATTATGCAAAAAGGGAAAATGCCCAGCCGTGGGGCGGCAGGGACTCTTCCGTCCCTCCGATGATTCAGAGTTGGTGTGCTGCAGATCAGACTTTCGCATGGGTGCACATGACCCAAAGGATTCCCAACCAGAATTTGCAGGGTCAAAGATGTCATCAGGACCTGGAGCACCAAAAGGCGACCGACCCAAAGGCGGCCGCAAAGGTGGAAAAGGCCAGGTCCGGGTCAGTTCTGTACATCACCGAAAGAGCAAAAGCCCTTGAGCATGTGTGTGTGGGCTGTGCATGGATCTCAAGTTTGACAGGGCACCCCTGCTTCACATGTCGGTTGCTTGTTTCATGTGCCGGGCATCCAAGTGTCTTGCAAGCGTCGCCTACCAGGAGATGATGGAAAGGGAAATTCAGGCGCCGTCGCCATTCCACCTTCCCGTGACACGTATCGACCTGTTGTGTCAAAAAACTGCACGCGTTGCCCTGGAGCTGGACATTAGAAGCAAAAGGTTGAATGAAAATGCAACCCTGCTTAAAGCAGGACTCCGACCGCTTGGAGCTCATTGACTCATAGTGCCTGCATTGATACTCAGGAGGCATTCGCTTGGCACGGTTGTTCATGTTGTTCATGTCAATGTGACGTGGCGCCTGTAAAGTGTTCGAAGTGCTTGGGGTATACCCGAGCTCGGCTGTCCTCGGTTCAGTCTGAACAGCCGAGGGCTTTTGACTTTTGAAGCCGAATAGCAGAAGCTGCCTTGACATTGAGGTCCATGGGTGGCAATGGGAAGGTCTGGGACTTTGCAAATTGCTATGGCTCAGTTGCAAGCCTCACACGTCTCCATGAGCTGGCTGGACCCCCATGCACGTATGATCTTGCACTGTGGCTCAAGCAGCAGGCGAGCTGGTCATGTAAACCTTTGTGGAATTTCATCAACACTGACTTGCTGGCAGCCAATGACACGGTGCCGTTCCAGCCTTTGCGTAAAAAGCCTGGCCTTTGTCCTGGTACTTGCATCGGCGGCACTTCTGCTGCCACTTGTGCTAAAGTCGTCTGAGCCCGAGGTGGCCGGCGAGGATGGCGATGGCCCTGCACAAGGTCATCGTGGTACTTTGCCAGCTTTCAAGCTCGGACCGGTTGAGAATCTGAAGCCGTTGACTGCAGCAGAGGAGAAGACCCTGGAACAGGGCAAGCTGGTCCTGCGCCAGGAAGAAGATCCCACCAGAGGAAAGGGCCTAGCGATCCGAGACATGGCTGCCACGCCTGACGACGTGATGGAGGAGCTTTTGGATTTCTCCACCTACAAGAAGAAAGTGGCAATGTGCTCGAGCAGCATCGTTTACGGAAGAAAGAAGCTTCGTGGGGGAAAGGAGCAAGTCAAAGTCGAGATGTCCTCTACGATCATCCCCGGCTTCTCGTTCCACTGCTATTTCGACCATACAGCCGATAGGAAGGGGCACTCCATGATTTGGTCCTTGGACTACGACCGCCGCTCAGATGTGGACGACATCCAGGGCATGTGGTACGTGGAGCCACACCCCACGAAGGAGGGCTGGTCGAGAGTGTACTACCAGATCGACATGCGTCTCAGGTATAAAATCCCTGGAGTGCTCTACAGGGCTTTGTCGTCAAGTAGTCTCAGCAATGCCGTGTCCTGGGTGAAGGACTATTCTGAGAGGCGGGCTTCGAAGCATCAGTGATTTTATGCGAAAAGCTAAAGACAGCTGTTGCTTGTGCGATTTTAGCCGCCTCAATAGCGGATGCGTGTGATGGCAAAACAGACATGTGTTGCATTGTGGCAGATGTCGGTGCAACTCAGAACACACCGCCCACCTCGGTGGGACTTCTCCCGAAGCACGAAAGAAGTTCATAGATTGTCATAATTCTGTTAACATGAAACAGTTCAAGACAGTTCAGATGCTGCAGGGCGCGGGCCGTGGGCCAGGCTTTGGAGGAGCAGAAAGCTGTGAGCGCACCTGAGCCCTTTCATGTCTTGTTTCCAGCACGTGAACATAGAAAGGTTGTGTCAGTCGCGATGTCGCTGGCTTCCGTTGGGTAACTTGTTGTTTGGATGCCGTTTGCCTGGACGGGATTTCGTGGGCTCCCAGCTGAAGCTCCCGTGGAAGCAGGACGTGGCGATGGAAAGGGCCGCGGCAAACCACAGATGGGAGGAATGGGAGGCCGGTGTTTTCAGAATTGCAAGAACGCAGCAACCCAGGCATTGCAAAAAGCAATATCTGGATAGCTAAATTAGAAAGGCGGACTCAGCCTAGTGACACTTGGTTTGCAGGTGACCGCCCGGGCCCTGCTGCGGGCGGAGGCTCACTGGGAGGCCGGCGTCAACTAATGGGACAAGCAGTGCAACGATGACAGAACTTTGCACCCAAGCTTCCACTGGCTTCCCGCAAGATGCTCCCGCTGCAGTCAGAAAAACTAAATGCTTTGAGCACCATGGTGAGCATGAGTTCCGGCTGTTTCGGCAGGCTTTATCTCGTTGCAAAGCTATATGTTACGGGTTGTCGTAGAAGATAGTGCTTGTCCATCGAACAACAGCGCGATGCTTCGCTGTGTGCCCGTCACGTGAAGGCGTACTCAGAGAAGCAGTTGTGATGTGACTTGCTGAATGCAGTGACCTGTCATGACTCCTCTCACAGGTGCCGGTGGGGCACCGGCACAGCTCGCAGCTCAGCTCCCACGGCCATGCAAGGCTCAGGGCATCCACCAAGCACCTGCACCTTAGCGTTTGCTTTGACATCTGTTGCCTCCAAACAGAACAGTTTCATTGTGTTTCGTTGGCCTCTGAGTGCCTCATATTTCCGATACCTATTTGATGTGAGAGTTGGGGGGGGGGGGGGGCAGAAATAGGTTGTGGGTGGTGGAGTCGTGAATGTTCTCATATTGCTGCCACGGGGCAGGGGTTAGTCAGGGGAACCTGGGCCGGGGTGTTATTGCGGAAGCGAGCTCCATGGAGAATGGCAGGACAAAGGAACGGAAAGTCTCAAAGCATCGCGCGGCCCAGGGCGAACCGACCGAGCCAGCAGATGCCTCCCACGAACCCGCAGCAACCGCAGGCGCCACACCTCACGTGACATTCCGTGACATTCCTCTGAATCTTCGTTGTGCATGGGCTTGTGTGGCTTTGTGTGCGCAGCCGCATTCCTTGAACTTGTGACTGGTTGTCCTTTGGCATGTGGCTGTTCTTGAAGTTTATTGTTTAGGACACCTGCGCCTGCCTGACCCGAGGAACACATAGGGGCGCAATTGTACCCTATGTATGCAGGTCCCTCAGCCACAGATTCAGCCGCAGCTTGGCATGGGTGCAGCAGGCCTGAGTCAGCTTCTGCAACCATGCTCGGATGGGATGCTGTCCGAATGCTTGTGTTCAGCAGTCGTTGAAGCACTCGCCACGGCATGTCACCCGAAAGCACTTTGCCCTGTGCTTGTGCATGAGAAGCGACATAAAGTGAACAAGATCGCAGTAGGGCTTCTCAGACAGGCAAGACGCATCAAGCATCCCGTGCTCAAGCAAATGCAAACCCAGACCGGTTGGAGAGTGAAAACTGCTTGTCTCCCAGACAATCGAATATGTGGTGCGGGTGATTTGGGGAGTAGCCCGCACAGGATATCTGCGAAGGTCGAAGGACGAAGCAGCAGCATCTTCAACCCAGTCAACATCAGTCAACAGCGTCGGCGTGCACGTTACATTCAATAGCTTAGCTCTCGTGCATCCTGCCTCGGCAGCTGTGGCTGCACGACAGGCAAGGTTGCTGAGCTGCTGGTTTGAGTCACGGCACGCCTGCTGATTTCGCCCGAATCCCGCAGATTTGACTGACAGGCAGTTGCATGGCTTTTCGGCAAGATGGCGTGCAACGCTCTCCCACGTTCTTCGTCGGTGCTGACACTTCTTCGCACGTATTTGTAAGCGCTGAGCGCCGACCGCCTCGGCCCGCCCAGCCGCAAACGTGAAAAGCCTGTTGAAATTTTCTTTGCAGAGAGTTCGTGTAGGGTGTCCCTACTAACCTGTCTCTCCGGTCCCTAGAAAAAGTTCCAGAGCGTGGCGCTTTGTGGACCCTCCATACTGTCGGAGATTTAGGGAGTTGTTAGAGGCGGGGCAGGGGTACAAGAAATGTGACTGTCGTCCTTTGCCCTGGTAGATCAGGCCCGCCTTGGAGGCCCGGGGCCGAGGCGAGTTAGATAGGAAGTTTGCTAGGTATATCCAAGATATCTAAGTATGCCATGATTCCCAGCTCGACACAGCAAGGAGAAACAGAAGCGAGACTTAGATGCTTTCCAGCGACGGGAGCAACAGCTAGCAGAAGTCTACCACAAGAACAAGCCGTTGTGCCTCTTGGCATGCAACCCAGGCAACCGTATCAGGAAGTTGTGAAGTGGGTTCACAATGTCACGAGCAGAAGAAGCATCAGTCACAGGTAACCAGGTGACCTTGCTTAGACTCTGAGTAGATTCGTCTAGCTCAGCATGCTTCCGTGCAGTTCTGCAATCACACAAGCGGCCAGGTTTCAATTCTTGTGCATTCCAGAAGACGCATCCAATCAAAGCAAGATCTGGACACCGTGATGCTGATGCCACATTGGTGTCGCCAATGGTTGTCACTTCAATGCATTTCTGAACAGACGAGCCGAATCATTGCGCGTCAGGCCTGAGCAAAGACAAAGAGTTGCCTAGTGCAATGTAGCCTTGCAGAGCGTGCTTGCGCGAAGCACAGGCAGCATTCAATTCCAGAGGCTAGTCCGCTGCCTGCAAGAATGCAGCCATCCGTCTTTGAGGTTGGCGTGGCTGATGGAGTCTCCCAGATCGAAGAGTACGGGATCGACTCCTCCCAACTGCGCCCTGGACATGACTCTCCTTGGCAAGGCTCCAAGAAGACCCTGTTTAGAAACTCAGTAGATCCAAGGCCCACTGAGTTGCTCCGACAGTGTGAAGACATGGCATTCCAGCAGCTTGTGCCTGGATGCGGAGCACGCGCCCCCTGGCCAGCTCAGCTCACTGGCACTTGCAATGCCTTCAACTGCAAGAGAGAGAGACTTGTTGGAGACCTCCGCGTGTGCATGGCCACCTCAAGGAGCCCTACCATGGCCCAATTCCATTGGTCCGGGAAGCTTTCCGCAGTACAGAGCGCTGGCCTCAATTGGAAATTGTGGGCTTTAAGGCCTTGCCATGCGGTTGGGATCGGGACTTGGTGACATGAAGCTGGGCGCTCTCTTCCAGCCATCCCTCTGCTGCTAAGTTGCTTGGGATCTACAACGTTGGTCCTGGCCACGTGGGTGCAAATCAATGTCGATAGTGAACGATTCAGAATCGGAGGTCCGAAGTGAAGAAGCGAGAGGATGTCAGAGCCCAATTGGCTTTTGAGGCTTTGCTGGACAACTCCACGAAGATCCATGGCAAGCTGCACCCCATGATTGCAGCCACCTGCCTAGCTGGAGCTCTTTTCAGACAAAGCGTCCTGGAACCCAGTGTTTGTGTCTACCCGTGTTTTTGCGTGTCCGTAATGTCGTGCACGGTGGGGGTTGGCCTCCTTGACTCATTGACGCCCTTCCCGGCATAGCTTAGCCAAAGTGAAGTTTGTTATCGTTGGGGGGCCGAATGAGGTGCAAGGGTTGAAGGGAAAGAGATGGTGCCCATTTCTAGTTGCCCCAAACTCGCCGATCAGAACATATTCATTCCGCCCAGGTCATCTCTGTCGGCGACTGCGAGCTAGTCATCCTGCCACTTCGCGGGAATAGCTGCGTGTAGAACAAGAGGACAAGCTTAGCTACCAGAAGCAATTGCTTGGGTAAAAATCTCGCTGCGCAAGTACTACAAAAGGTCCCGTGCCTTCGAGTCGGTATAGATAATGAAGAACGATGAGAATGGCATGTCAACGAGCGGTTGAGTCCTCGCAATCACGTGAACGGTGCAGTGTGAGGGCATCGCAAGGCTTCAAGCAGAATAAACCCTCAAACTAGACATGACGCAGTACCATTTCGCGAGTTGGAAAGATGTGAACGATCAGGTGTGTGATCTGCAAGGCAGTTTTTGCAGTTTCGAAAACAAGCGAGCTCCTCTGCATTCCTATGCTTCCATTGAATGTGAAGCTGCATCGAAGGCGACGATTGCAGGGACGTTCTGGCCCTTTGGAACTCGTCTTCCACACCGCACCTCAGCATGGAACAATCCAAGGGTTTGCGGTCCAGATGCTTCAGGCAGTGAAAGGTTTGCCTTCAAGCTGTGGTGGTCATTGACCGTTGAGCTCGCTGAGCCCTCTTCGTTTCCCGCCTCCACAACCCACAGCCTCTTCCTCCTCACTGACACATTTGCTCAATAATGCAGAATGCTCGCCAAGAGAGAACATCTGTTTTATTTCTTGGGCCATTGCAACGTCGAGGGTTGTTATGCTGGATGCCAGGGTCGACCGTATCTGCTCGCAGAAGGGACTCGCAATGGTGTGCTGGATGCCCATGGAACACGAGCACAATGGCCAAGGCAAAGCATGTCTTCCAGCCATGCGTAGGTGGCAAGGCAGTCAGAGGGAGAGGAGCGCACCCCTGGCAAGGAAATGCAGCGAGTAGACGGCCATTGTCAAACGCCTTTGCAGTTACTGGGACGCAGCAGGAGTTTCTTAAAGTGATGGCGGTAAGGTCTGTCTGTCTTGTGCTTGGAAACTCTCTGTAAGTACTGGGGTGTGATCACACATGCCCCAAAATTGTCAGCCTGAGACGAGTCAGGATGAGTAGATCCCGTACAAATGCAGCTGCAAGCTGCAACAAGCCAGGCTGGCCCGCGTAGATGACCGAATCGATCCAAATTTCGATGTGGCTTGGATTGGTTGGGCATTGGGGGTGCTGGTAAGGTACTGGTAGCAAGTTTGCCAGGGTGTCGCATGTGTTGTTTGAACCAGAAAGGACAGCATCACCGTGGAAGTCATTGAGCGCGGAAGTGCCGTGCACTGTGTCTCTGCCTACGACGCTCACTGCAGATGGTTCTGTTCGAGAAGTTGTAGCCTTCGGCATGCACTCTAAGCTGTATTTGCAGCGCTTGGCTTGGACAAGTGCCTTGCCCAGGAAGGTGACATTGTCCTGGTTGGCTCAGATGGAGTCTTCGATAACCTTTTTCTAGCTTCTTGGACTTGACCAAGACAGCGGCAAGACATCTGTCAGTCGAGCTGATCCTGAATCAGACTTTTCCAGATGTCAGCCTGGCTTTTTGTGCAATTGACTTGGATGTCGGGAGGTGCCTCGTTTTCCCAGCTGTGATAAGGATGAAGTATCGGCGATTGCAAATGCCGTACTGTTACCAGGCACTCAGCTCCTTGGATTGCTCCTAAGTCAAAGTGCAATCTGTGAAAATTTCCTTCTCCTTCTCTCCATCCAGGAAGCCATCAAATCCACTGGAGATGCTTCTGCATGCACTGAGGCTGCCGATTCACTCCTCGCAGCTTACACTTCTTGCAACGCGCATCGTGCAGGCGAGCACGTCCCCTTCGGTTGTAGCGGCGCTTGACAGGAGTGAGGAAGGTATACACAGGCTGCACATGGCTGCAGAGTTGCTGCAGAAGCTGTGCTGATGCAAGACGTGCTCTTGAAATCCACTGAAGGCTGCTCATCAGAAGACAGAGATGAGAGCCGGAGGCTTTCTGGCAGAGGCACCGCTACTCGGCAGAGCCCGCGAGCTTGTAGCATCGGTGTTTGAACTTGCTTCCAGTTGGGGGATGTGGAGGGGCTCCAGCTTTCTTCCCGGGCATGCTGTTTGGAATTGCATGCTGTAGGGAATTACATGCTGTGCGCACTCGCTCGCAAAGATCGCACAAAGGCCTCCGAAGCAAATCATCTCTGTGGGTACTAGCTGTTTTTGGTGTGCGGCGTTTTCCGCTTTCCTGTAAGGCAGTGTGCGCACGGTCAGATAGCGGCCTGATGTTCCACAAAGGCCTTGCTTCTCGTTTCCTCTTGGGGTAGTTGGAGCGCGGCGCGTATCTCGCCGCGTGGTTTCCTTCGGTTTCTTGGGTGGGGTTGGGGGGGGGTGGGGGGGGGGGGATAATTCCGCCCCCCCCTATTGCAACTTGCCAGCATGTCCTCAGTCTTTTAGTGCTCCAGTTTGCAGGGCACCCAGAACCCTGACTTAAACCGTAGCCCTCCGACTTGCTAAATCCGCCCTATGGGCTTGGGGGGGGTTAGGGTTTAGGGTTTAGGGTGTATAGGGCTTAGGGGTTTAAGGGTACTTACGGCTCTGCTTTGTCCCACGGTTTAGGGCTAGGATTGAGGATTGAGGATGTGGGGCTTAGGGTCGAGGTCTCTGGGTTTGAGGTTCTGCGTTGAGGTTTTCCCAAAACCTGATTCCGGAAATCCTACTGCCGCAGAATCCTCAAGCAACCTTTCCTATAAAGCCCTACACCTTAAAACATCCCTAAGCCCCTAAACTCTAAACCCCTGAAAGCCCTAAAATCCTTGAAAACGGAAAGTAGTTTTAGGCATTTCAGAACTCTTTAAAAGGAGTGAATTCCCTAGGCGAAAACACTAAACTACGTGTTTCCCCCTTAGAGTGCCGTTCATAACCCGCTCCCACCTCTCAGGACGCCGAGTACCTTGTAAATAGCACCATTTTTTGCAAATTCCAGCCATCTTAATTTTCACTCTCTGCACGAAAACGCACGGCGAGATGTGCGCCGCGCACCTAGTTGCATGGTCCCTTACTATGGGCTCTGAAATAGGGACCCCGCATATACCCTAGAAAACCCAAGGGTCCATGCAACTACCCTTAGGATTTCACACCGTGCCCAGGATCGGCAAAGGAGGCAAAATGGATGACACCTCATGTGTGGTGGCAGAGATTATCGAGTGGACCGACCTTTGGACCAAACCCACGGGCCAAGACAGGCTTTCATGTGAAGCAGGGTTTATATTACTGTTATTGGTGAGTGTATATAAGGTTCCTTTTAAATATTGGTGAGTGTATATATTTGGTGTCCTTCTGGGGGTACAAGAAATATGCACCCTACTTACTTCATGTCCTTTCATCCCAGCTTCATGCGATGGTGCAGTTGCTGGCGTCCTTTCCAGGAAGCTCACCAGAAACTGTATGCCCGCGAGTCCGAGCCGCTGAACTGGATGAACTTCTGGAGCATCGCAAAGGGTCGGCGGTATGCGGGGCTTCTTTCAAAAATGCCCCATCTCCCACCTCTCAAGTTCGATGGTTGTCAGCGGAGCCAGTCGGATGATCAGCAAAAGGCATGATATACATGAGTACCACAGCTAGAAAGAGGGACATTTTTTGCTTTTCACACGCGTCGCGTGACTGCTGTGGAATACAATGCAATGCTGTGTTCTGCTGGTTTTACACAAACACACAGATATATATATATATATACACATATATATATATATACATATGTGTATATATATATACATACCCACATATACATATACAAATATATATATATATACATATATATATATATTTATGTATTTACATGTGTATATATATATATGTATGTGTATATAAATAAATAAATATAAATACAAATATATATATATGTTTACTTATTTATTTGTTCTTCCCGAATGTTGACAGAGCAGGAGCTGCCGTGTTGGCTGCGATGGGGACGACGAGCGCCTTGACAAGCACTGTGTGGTTCCATGACGGTGCATGGCTTTTAAAAACGTCAGCCGGCAATCAACCACATCGTCACGTGATCAATCTTTCCATATTGCAAAGCTCTGTTCACAGATGTGGTTCGGCGAAGATTGCATGAGAGTCTGTACGATATGGAGGAGAATGCAGATTGGTAAATCGATATATCTGTGCTCCAGCCTTATCAGTCAGGCTTATGGAGTACGAGGGTGAAATGACCCCACCCGGACTTCATGGAAGACGCGGAAGGCGAACCTTGGCTGGGCAACAGCAACGAAAGAAACGCCGTGTGGGTGGCCCATATGTCCGAAATTTGCGAAGCTGCTGGGTTGGCCACGCTGGACTGTTTGCACTTGTACCAGATCCACACCAAGCTAAGGTCTGAGCTCTGTTGGTTCAGTTGACGAACGTGATGGAGAGCGCTGTTGCATTAGCTAGCACCCGGCTAGCATCCTGCAACTCTGCCGTTGGCAGTGGGTTTCCCATAAAGTGCTGCAGCGCGCAGTCTGCGTGAAAATGGCAACCAAAGCGAGCCTATTTCAACGCGGCACATTGTGTCTTTCGGTCCACTAGCACACATGGGTCTGTTTGCCGAGACGTACTGTCAACACCCACACACACACCCAGACACAGAGAGTGCACCTCAGTGAACAGCCCCGGACTAGCGTGGCAGTGTTTCAGTATGCTCTTCGGCCAACACCTCAGGGCTAGCAGATGGTTGAGCGTGGCTTCATAAGGGCACCGCTTAGTATGGCCAAATTGCCAGTGGGCACGGCGCGCAGCAGCACGAGCCTGTCAATAGGAGACGAGGATCAATCTAAAGGTCGTTTTCTGGTTAAGAGCTGCTGCTCCCGCCGCCTGCGCTTGTTCACACAGTTCTGGCAGTGAAGGCCTGTTTTGCGCAAATTCTGCGCCGTTCCCTGCTCAGCCAAGCATGAATGGCTTATCAGCTCCCAAGAAGCCTGTTCAGACTAATGCGCAATGGCTCCCAGAACGGCAAACGAAGAACCAAGGGCCAGACAATCTAACGAGCTTCCTGGTGAGTTAATTCAGAGGCACCTCACCCAGCCAGAAAAACCAGCTTTTGGTTAACGCTCAACTGAAAGCCACAGCGGCAGCTAAATAGAACATATTCCCGTATGAACATTACGATGAAGGCACGTTTGATCTGCTTCACAGGTGCCGGAGGCTTTGGCTTGATGCCAGGCCGTTTGCCGGGCAGCAACAACAACCATGGGTTCTTGAAAAGCAGCAAGCTGTTGGCATACCTGCCTTTTGTGACAGGAATGCCCAATCTCATGGAGTTCTCCGTGGATCACTCGGGCGAACAGGCTTTCTCTGTGGCAAAGGTTCGTGCGACCGCTGGAACACTGATTACAAGAATTCACTGGTTGACAGACATTGACCGCCCTTCGGCAAAGCGGCAGAATCAGTTTTTGTCCCACTGAGGGTGCTGGCACCTTGGGGATGTCAGTTCCACAGGGTCTGCAGGGCCTTCCGAACCTGTCCAGGACCCAGGCTACTTTCAGAGGGCAAGCAATGCTGGTTATGAAAGCTGGTACACTTTGGTGTGCTCGATCTCAGGCAAGGATTGCAAGGGCTTCAAGGCCACCGGAAATGCTCGTGCTTTGTGAGAAGATGCAGAGACTTGATTGGTTGTCCGAGGGAATGCCAGAAAGGTACCGTATTGTAGAGCCGCCAGCTAATGAACAGCTATTGCCAGTTGATTTTATTTCATGCTCGAGGTCTGCAAGGTCTACCCAACCTGCAATCCTTGGGTTCCTTGGCATGCAATGCAGGCGAACCACAGCGGGTGACATTCCACTTCAAAACAGCTTGGGGTCAGAGACACAGTGTCGCGTCTGAAGGTTTGGCTGGGAATCCGGCCTGGGCCGCTGCATTTGTTCAACAGCCGCAGGCCGTGGACAACCCGAAATGCATACCGCCACATCGGGTCACTCTGCTACCCTTCTCTAGTATGTGCATTACATGTATGTCAGAGCTGGCCAAACAGCATCAGCCCAGAAGAAATGTTGCAGGTCCCCGCGCGCAATATGGGTGGGATGCCCAACGCCGGAACCGGACCCGCAGGCGGACCTTCCAACCCAAACTTCGGAATGCTGCCGGAGCCACGGACTGGTTGTGTCAAGACATCTCAAGAGCGCACTTCATCTTGAGGCAACCACGGCTGGGTAAACTGCCACCCAAAGAAGTGCATTGGACCCAAAACCGTCATCATCCAGGTAGTTGTAGGGCCTTGTAGGGCAATTCCAAGAGAACACCTGAGGAATTTTACGGTGGAGTGGCGGACAGCACTGGACAATAAAGCGGGTCAGTAGATCTCGATCCCGGCGGGTGCTTTAGGCCTGGCTATATGGAGCTGGGCGACAACTTGCGTGGCTTGCCGGGTGCCGCTGGGGCTGGGAGCCTATGGCAGTCCAAGAATCTTGTCATCCGACGCCATTCGGAGCCTCATTTGAGACTCATAGTTGTTCATACTTATGGTTTAGTCCGCTTCAACAATGATATGTGCATGTACCCCCCACTGGCCCCGAGGGACAGCAGGGATCTTACAAGGGAGGTTTGGTCTCGCACTCAGCGGCGCTTCGCCTGCTCAGCAAGTTGCAGAAATGATGTGAGCATGGTTTCCCTGTCGAGAGATGCTGGCGATGATTTTTACAGTGTGTCCTGAACTAAAGACTCGATAAACACCCTGCGACACAAGAGTTCAACCAGGCAAAGGGATGTACATGGCACAATCGGCAGCGTTGTCATATGAGGCGGGAGCAGGCCAAGGAGGCTTCATGGGCTGAGATTTGCTGAGCCGTGCTGAGCCATGAGGGCCAAAAGATGCCAAGGGCACTTCGAAAGACGGAAGTGGCGAGAGATTTTGGCAACCGACTTGTGCAAACACCTACTGACTGGCCTGTTCAGGGTAGTCTCCCATATTTCATTTGGATTGTGGTTGCCGATGAATCTCACAGATGAGGGACTTTGCATATCAATCTTGCACCGACTCAGCAATGTGGAGAGGGTGCTAAACGTGCCAAAACAGTTCTAGCCGATTCTAACCTGTAGCCCTAAGAGGGTGGAAACGCTGAGGAAGTGCTGTGGGTACTGAAAGTTCGGACCCGCCCATCATCTTGTGAGCAATGGGAAGTGCAAACACTATTAACGTCTTGGACCTTGCCGGCCTTGTTGCACCATGCGCAACCACCTGGCAGGAGTTTTTTCAGGCATTCTGCTCAGGCATTCGGCACCTAGTTTCCGAACAGAAGAACTTTCGGCAAAATCATGCGGCCGGCAAGGCAAAATCCGAACAGTGCAGGATTGCACAGGCGCAATTTGCGCTCATGTTGACGCAACCCGCGTTGACATTTGACATCTATATGGGCGTCCGTCCGCTTTTCAGGTGTGTTCGTCCATATCAGAAATGCAACGCCAGGGCCAGGCACGATGTACTGACAACAGAAACCGGCAGCAGGGTTCTCCATCAGAAAGCAGTCAGAGCCTTGAGCTACAAATGTTCCTGCCGCTACTACTATCAGTTACTATCATAATTATCATCCTGGCCTAGCTCTTCCTTTGAACCATGTCGATGCTGCCTCCCTGGCCCATTCAATCTTACTTGCTTGAGATGAACAATTGAGCCGCGCAACAAATTTTGACAAAAGCTGTACTGCCTGTGACTGCCTGTGCAAAGCCAAGCTTCAAGCTTCCACTTACATTGATGTGCTGCACTTCAGTTCCTGCTGTCAAGAACTTTCCGTAGCTGCTCGCCTCCCAGCTGGTACTGGCGTGTTTAGGGTTGAGGTTGTCTGGGTGTCTGGGTTAGAAGCCCATCAGGCCACGGACTGCTAGTTTGAATTCTCCCAGCACCTTTGCAATCTGTAGCTGCTCCGGGAGCTACCGTCATGACTCATGCGTCGCCTGGGACGAATGGCGATCGGAGCAACTGCTGGAAAGAAGGCGCGACATTTGGGAAATTTCGGAAGCCTTTGCTCAGTTTTGGTTCTGCAAGACGGCTTGATGACTTGTCTCCTGAGGCTCCCTGGGAGAGAGCTTGGGAAGATTTCGTGCGGCTGGATCGCGAGGCCGGGGTCCTGGGCCATCAGGCAAGTTGCCAAAAGGTGAGGACAGTAACTGGCCAGAAAGCATGGGGATCTATCTGCTATTTGTCCTCCCAACTAGGGTCAAGAGGGTCACATCAGCATAGATCAGCATGCCCTAAATCTGCCCCATGCTTGTGAACAGAATTGAAAACAGGATACCGTTTTTGGTTTTTTTGCAAAAAAAAAAGATGTCCGAAAAGCTATGGCCTAGAGAGACAGCTACCTTAGTCTGAGAGTGGGGGGGGGTGGCAGAGTAGCCTCCGAGAGGCGGAGCTCCACGGCTCCCGGCGAATCGGCCTCGGCTGTGCTGACTCCGATGCCGCGCCCTCGAGACTGTCCTTTTTGCAGCCAAAGAGGTCTTTTTTTGCTTGTTTTCAAGTTGCTGCTTTGAGGCTCTCCTGGGGTACCTGTAATTTACTATAACGAGCAAGTTGGCATGGCTTATACGTGCGGAGTTGGATGTCGAGCTTTGACCCCCTGCTGCGATTTCTGAGCGCTGGCCCTTGAACAGCATTGCTGTCAACCGGCGCTGCAATGCTGCACATGCAAATGCAAGACCAGTACTTCCACAAGTCGCAAAACTTGGCGAAACGCGTGCTATGCTAAGTGAAGGATGCAGCCTACGCATATCTGTGGCTATCAACACGTCATGACCCCTGACTGGTTTAGCGGCGGAAGTTGCCACGCTTTCCCATGGCCGTTGGTGTTGCCGCCACCCGAAGATGGGTGAACGGCGGTACAGGAGCGTTCCCACTTTGGCTCCCGTTGCTGTCTTTCTGCAAGCTTGTGGAGAAGGCGATCGACCTTGCTTTCTTCGATCATATACCTACGCACAGTGGCGTAAAGGCAGTATTAGGAATTGTGAATCCTCCGACTCCGGGGCAAAGAAGTTGCCGTGCTCAGGTTGATGTGGTGACCTCCTTGCCTTTGGAGTCGTTAGTGGACTTGGTGAGGTGAGAAGATCGGCAAAAACTGGTATACAGAGACTCGTGCCTACATGTTGCGCTCTCACAACAGGTCGCCTGCACCGGCTTCACCTGCCCGGACTTTTGAGCTGCTGGAGCACGTTCGCCCCCAACTCAGCACGCCTTGCCGTGCCATTTTGTTGCCAGCTAGGTGGGCTAGGTGTGACTCCAAGTCCGAGGTACATTGAGGCCACAGGCATTTGTTTTTTGCATTCTTGGGTTTGTAAGTGTGTAGTACAGAGTCCGTGCCAAACACGCTCGACACTCGTACGGAACAGAGGGAGAGGGGAGGGGGGGAGGGCAGATGAGGGCAGCATGAGCATGTGCCCCACAGGATGGGCGCGTGTGCCACGACTTATCCTCAAGCATCGGCCAACCGAGATCGAGGCAATGGCGACAATGTGGGATTGGGGTGTGGGCAGTTTTGCGACATTCACAAAACAGCGCTGATGCCCCCAATGACAGGTTGATGTCATTAACTGCCAGCTGGACCATCAATCGCATGAACGTGATGAGGCGTGAAAGGGAAGGGCTCGGATAAGGAAGGCCATTGCGCGGATTAAAGGAACTGCGACTTGCAATCGTGGTGGCCTCTTGAAACACCCCCTTCCCACCCTCCTCCCACCCAAGAGAATCTACGGCGGTGGGGAGTCTGAGAGCCCAAAGCCCTTGGCTTGGGCTTCTTTAGGCCTGAAGCTTTCCATGGCCTAGCTTGAATCCCAGGCAGTTCCTGCCTTCCTGGGCTTTGTCCAACTCTTAAGGCCAGAAGCCACTGCCGTGAGGTCATACATGTGTTCCTCGATGCTTGTCCGATTGCCCGTGACTTCATGGTTCTCATCGGTGAGTGGGCCAGGCCCTTGGATTGTTTCAATATATTTGATTGGGTGTTCGTGGATCTTGAGGCCCCAATCCTTGAGATCGCTGAGGTACACCAGCATTCAGCATTGATGCCTCCCAAGCAAGGCCAGCATGCGGCAATGTGCGGCACGAGCATCGCACGTATCTCCGAAGCGAAAACCTGTACTTGTACAGCTGCTGTCAAGAGCTTGGAATATGAAGTTAATGCTCTTCGCTCGCTTTGCTCGCTTCGTCGTGCAGGAAGTTTTTTTGTGCAAAGGCTGTGCTCACAAAGAACACAAACAACACACTAACGGTCACTAACGACTTGTTGCACTGTGGGCCTGTTGAGTCTGAAGGTCGAAAGAATGAAAGGTTCACGCGCTTTGCTTAAATTGATCTCATGCACTCTTCAATCCTTGCGCGAAGGTAGCTCGAGCGGAACGTAGCAAAATATCCCAGAATGGGTGTAGTGCTGCCATTTCACTCACTCTGAACCATTTTGGCATATTTTGGCCAACAGTTGCTTGTCTTGCATTGCAGATCTTGGCAGTCCAAGCACATCTTCTTTGCATTGACATAGTATCAACAAGGATGGGAACTGGCAAAGGGTTGATTAATACGCGTGGTCGTGGCCCATGGAACCTGCGGCATTTCGGCTGCACAGGCTTTCCAAACACCTACACCTTCCGCATGATTGGCTTCCACTTCTTGCAGACACGCAAGCCAGGGTGCAAGTCTCGACTGGCATGCGCGGACACCCCACTGCTCCAGAAAACATGCATACATGACTCATACATGCCAACGTGATATGGCTCAGGCCGTTGCTGACGGGGCCTCAGTTGACCTGCGTGCTGCATGTAGCTCCTGCAGTGTCTCAAAACCCGAGCCACAGCTCTTAAGCAGAAGCCCCAGCTATCACAAACTGCGAGAGCCAGGGAGCGGCACACATGCATGCATATTGCATTGCATGCCTTCACTGGACGGCCAAACCAGTGCAAACCTATTCAAGCATCATTTGGCCCTCCGACAGCTACTACAGGCCTGCACTGGCTGACAGCGGTGCGGCTTTGAGGTCTGCGGCTGGTCACTCCTTGTGCTTTTTAAATTTTTCTTTCCCTAAATGAGCTTCTCGTTGCCTGCAGGGACTCGCACTTCCTGGACACGGACGAAGATGCCTCGCAACTCTTTACGGACTGGCTCAGAGTCCCGCTTGCATTTGAGCCATTGAGTCGCTTCAAGTTGTGTCCTCATTAGCCTCACAGCTGATGACCAAGCCCAGCTCTTGCTGGTGGCGCGCACACACCTTTCAGGACTGTTGGTGAGAGTGGCGGCCTCGTTGCACTGCTGGCATGAAGCGTATCCGATGCACTGTGGACGGACCTAGGGTTCGACTGGGTTCGGCTGGCACGCGCGATTTTGTATGGTGACCTCTCTGCCATCTCATGCTCAACAATGCTCAAATGGGGACTTCACCTTGTGCTCGGCGGTCAGTTCCGCAGGCAAAGCTGGCATGTCATGGTCGCTTTTTGTCACTCTGCCAAGTTGCAGTATAGGCTTGGTGCAGCGTTCCGCACATCGTGCAGAGATGTTTGATGTCCGATGGCGCTTAGCAAGTGACATGCTGTTGGCCGTTACGTGGACCCACAGAGTTGTAGACAGACTTGCATGCAGCAACTGTTGTGCCGCAGCTTTTTTTGGTTCCTTCCTTGTGACCCTCAGATTTCAGGGAGATGCCGGCAGCAATTTCAAGCCTGCATACTTCAGCTTCTTGGCTTTGTGCCCTGCATTCTCGCTGCATTCAGAGCACGTGGCCGACTGGGCCCTTGACATCAAAGGCTGCGGGCAGGATGGTAGCGCTGTCTGCAGCGGCAATCTTCGCGGCCTGTGTTGTGCCCCGTACAGGCCAGGAGAGTGAGGAACTGTCTCTCTATGGCAGTCGGTTTGTTGATTACATCATGGTTACCCCGTACCATGCTCCCAGGTGCCTTCGTGGCGTCACCACCTATGCGCACAGGACAGACGCTGCCCCCATTGACTCCCGGCTATTACAAGGGTCACGCAGGCAGACGCGCAATTTGATTGAACATGATGGCTACCTCAGCCGACATGCAAAAGTTGCACCACGATCGGCTGATGAATTAGTTGCAGGCAGTCCGTGCCAAGGAATCCTCAAGTCAGCGCGCCATCTTCCGAATCTGGCGCGTCGCTGACAGCATCTGCTGCGAGCGCAGCGAATCTTGTTTGCACATGTGCGTTGTTCAAGTTCAGGCAGTACTACCATGTAGGGCAGCGTTAAGATGGTGCCAGGATTCGTCCAAGCAAGTTCCAACGCAAGAAAGGCGAGACACCAGAGCAATCATCCAGAATCAGTCAGAAAAGCCACATGGGCGACATTCCGTCAGGATGCTTTGAACATGGAATGAATGCCATTCTGTCGGTGTGCGGACGGGGCGGTGTGCGGTGTGCGTGACTGCGGTCGGCTGCGGTCGGGCGAGGGCGGTGTGAGTGAGTGGTCGGGTGGTGGTGCGCGGACAGTGTGAGTGAATGATTTACGCAATGCTGCGCGGTGTGTGTGAGGACAGCGGCGGTGGCGTCGCAGACATGGGGAGGGTCGGGGGGTGAGGAGGGGCGGGGGGGGGGGGCCGCTTCAGGCAAAGATTGCAAAGGAAGAGAGAGCTAAACCGGCACAAAGCAGAATCGGCTTGGGTTGGCCACGTCTCCCCACAATTCGACCAGGTGTGCCTTCGTCGCTGCCGCGGCCGCTGCATCATTTGCCGCGGCCATCCCGGCCGCTGGGACTTCATCGCGCCGGGCCGACACGATAATTTCCGAGTCTGCACAGTTTCGCGACCTGAGGTGCGCGGAACTAAGACGGCGCCAAAGAAGACACACGTGGTCGTTCGCGCCGGTGCTTGGAGCGCGGGCTCCTCTGGAAGCAACCCGTCACCCAAAGTCACCTTCTGTCAGGGGCCCTGTGTAGGCCCTTTGTAGGCCCTTTGCCTCGGCAATGCAACTGCAATGTACCTCCCACGCAGTCTTGATTTTGTTGGGGCCACTGGAAGGTGATCAAAAGCATGCACATTACTTTGGCAAGCAGACAGACGTGTATTTCAAATCGTAGGGCAGTGGCATGCAGTGGCCATGACGCACGGAGAGAGGGAGAGAGAGAAACACGCCCTCTCAACGTGGGAGCTATCGAGGCATCTCTTCAAGCGGGTCATCTTTTCTTGGAAGCTCTATGGCCGGTTCAGTGACCGGGCGGCTTGTCCAAACTAGCCTGGAGCATCGCTGAGGTTGAAAAAAACATAAAAACAAGAATGCATGAAAGAGAGAGAAGTGTAGAGAAGTGTTTGCCGAATGAATGGTGCTTTCTCTCTGGGACCAGCTGGAGCCGAGGCCAGCTGCGTCAGTGCCTTCGAACAGCTCCGGCTCTGGCCTCGCTTCCATGAAGATGACACTTGCTTGCAAAGAGCACAGGCAGTGCTTGCTCAGAGAGAGTCATAAGCTTTAAGCCCTCAAAGTCCCCAAAACATCCAAAAACGGAGCCTCCTCAAGACTCGCGGTGCAAGCGCAAAATTTGCATCTTGAGGGTACCTTGTGCGCTAAGCATGGAAGCAGCATGGCAGCTAGAGGATGTTTGAGCGCTTCAACGAGAAGGCTATCAAGGCCGTAATGACTGCGCAGGAGGTGGGGCATGGAACTTACAAAGCAGACTTGCACAGATGAGCGAGTAGGCGGGTGCAGCATGCGGACCCGGCAATGCCGATGCAGGAATCCAGGCGGTTAGGCCACAACTATGTCGGCACAGAGATGCTTTTGGTCGGCGTCGTTGCTGTCTCTTGTCTCTCCATACAATTCCGTGGATTTGGTATCGGTCGAGACTCAAAATCCATGGCCATGCTATCCATCGAAAATGCATGTAGCGGCTTAGCGCACCTCCTGAGCTCAGGACACCTCCGGGCCTTCGGCCAAAGTTCTGAAGAAGTTCAACGTGACGATTAAGGAGCTGTCGCAGCTGGTGCCACTCGAATGAGACGTTTTCACCTGTCACGCACACGAGGACACCCGAAAAACAGTGGAAGAGACTGTCGGACGTGGAACCGGTATGGTGTCTGTGGAGACTCTCGGACCTGTGCAACCTGCACACTGCAACGCGTCATGGCACCAGCAGTTGAACTTCACAATGCAATGACATGCAGTTCAAGTCCAAGCATAAGGATCCCCTTTACTCCGGCAGCCAAGCGCGTGCTGGGCGATGGAGCAGCTTGCCTTCGGGTGTGGAGCGTTGAGGTATGTTGAGGTTCTTTGTCACAGAAGGCTATGTCAAGCACATTCAAGCGTTTGGATCTGTCTCGAGAGGTAGAAGAGGCAAAGCGGCTGAATGCGAACACGATTGACACTGCTCACATCTTGCTGGCCCTCCTCAAAGAGGCGGTCGACATACGGTAATAGCATCTGCAAGGTTTCGGACTACCCACTTGCAAACACCAAGTCGGCACGACAAGCTCATAAGTCATAAGAGGACAATGGCAATGCAGTCAAGATTTTGGAGAAGCTGGGTGTCGATCCGACCAAAATGCCGGACGAGATCATCAAGGAGATGTGGGATGTGGAAGCTGTTGGCAGATGTTGGTTGCTGCGTGATGTGAGCTGTTGATGTGATCTGTTGTGCCACGCAGCCACTCATCCACAAAGGAGCTCCAGGAGAAGGAGGAGCGGAGCCTGGTTGGCGTGACCTCCCGCGGAGGCGGTTCAGGAAAGACAGCGCCTCGCGGCACGCTTGGGGCCTTGATCGGCAATACCTGAGGACAACCCACCGCAGCATGATCACTGTGCCATTGTGACACACTCGCCTGCGCTGCGTGGCATATTGTGTGTCTTTGCAGCAAGCGATGGCAAAGACGTGCAGTCCTACTCTTGCCAGGTGACACTGGAAGAGTTCGGAAATGACCTGACAAAGGCTAGGACTCCTTGGGTCCCTGGCCAATGTGGCTCTCAAATCAGAGTCGAGTATGCTGAAGTAATGTTAAATATTAATAAGTTTCATTCGGCAGAGGCTTACGACCTACGGTTTACTATTGTACGGCCTAATCCGATTTGCTGTACCGCTGTTCGTTGCAGGCAGCAGAAGAGGGCAAAATGGATCCGCTCGTCGGCCGCCAGGACAGCTTGTTCTTGATGTGCGGCAGAATACAGCATTCAAGATCAGTCTTCCAATCGCCTTTTCCCAGACATGTGAGTGATTGGAAGAAGAAGATGGAGAGCAACAACGCGAAGGAAGGAAAGAGTGAGTGAGAGAGTGTCACCCACTGAACACCACAACCACGGGCGTGCTGGAGCGTGGGGCGATGAGGGCAACCATGGCAACCCCGTGGCCTTCCGTCGCCTCAAGCAACGAACGAAGAAGAATAAGAAGAACAGATCCACGTCAGCAAAAGAAAGAAAGACTCTGTGGGCAACCATGGATCCTCGTACCCACCGAGAAGAGCAGAAGAAGACAAAGACCACAGCGTCAAGCGTGACAAGAAGCAGAAGGGGGTAGAGCCTGTGAACGAGCGAAGCCGACGAAAGCATGTCGGATTTCTGAACCAGGCAGAGCTCGAGCGAACAATCCAGATCCTCGCTCGAAGGCAGAAGAACAACCCAGCCACACGGCCAAGATTGCGTGGTCAAAGTCGCGCACATTACGTGAATATAAACGAATAGCTGTTGCTATTATGCACATTCCATCTCTGTCCATCTATGCAGCGTGAAGCATCGATGAAACTTCTTTTCGTGGAGCCCCGCTGGTCACGAAGCTCTCTCCAGATCACTCAGGTGCTCATTGGAGAACCGGGCGTGGGGAAGACGGCCATTGCTGAGGGATTGGCCCAAAAGATTGTGGCAGGCGACATCCCAGAGCTCCTTCAAGGCTCGATTCATGCGAACTTTTTTTGTTTTTTGCTGGCGCGGGCGGGGGGAGATTATTCGCTGTCAGGGAAGCGCATCGTGCAGCTGGACTTGGCTATGCTGCTGGCCGGAACCCGCTACCGCGGAGAGTTCGAGGAACGCCTCAAGAACGAAACTTGCTCAGCATACTGCATCGGCTTGCTGCACCGTCTAGCGTAAGATGTAAGTATGTACATATACATATATATATATATGTCTTTCTGTGTATATATATATATACATGCACCTCCATGAGCTGCTGCGCGACAAAACCCAGAAGGATGCTGAACAGCTACACTAAGCCGCAAGTTCACCAGCTTTTAAGCAGCAGGGATGAGACCACCAAATGCATGGAGAGTGCAGGCTCACGCCATCTCCGAACAGGGGAGCGGAGAT